TCGAGAGTGAAACAAAGGGATTTCCTATACCGGATAAGATCCTTGGGGCCTCTGGTGTCCCTGGGCTTGCATGAGAAGTTCCCGCATCGCCATATTCTGAGCTGCTATGTCTCACATACCCGCAGCTATCTGGGCCATTCCCTCAGTGAGTATGGCTGTTCTTTCGCCTCGTCGGCGCCGGTGATGTGGTCTCTGATGAGTAACATTGTTATGGAGTACCTCTTCTTCAGAGGCCTCCCTCATGGGATTGTGTTCACGGCTGTAGCTCATCCTACCTCTTTTTTCAAGGGTAGTAAGAACTTGGATTGTAATTCGACTTTGTTCTTTTTCAAGAATGCCCCCTTTTCAGGGTCAGTCGCCGATTTTCTGGTGTCTTCTCCGATGGGGAACACAAAACTTCAAATGGGGAGTGAGTTCCCCGGCAACGACGCCAAACTGTTGACCTCCAAAAATGGCTCCTCCACGTGGTCAACTTATAACTACTCCACGTAATCCTCCCTGCGAAATGAACAAACGGTCAGGCGCACACGGTCGGAACTGACGGGGGTGGTGGCGCCGTATACACTCCGACGGTCAAGTCAGGTTTGGGTGGTCGGAACAGTGCCCAGGGGCTACACAAATCAATCAATAAAGGGGGAGGAGAATATATAAACTTGTTATGGAATGCTATGTATTGAGAGTTTCATTACCTTTGCCTCTTGCCAAATCTTGTGTATTTATAGGTGGTATGAACCGCTAGATATGGAACGCGTGTGTACATCTGACAGTATGAAGCGTCTGTTCATAGGCGTCAATCAGCCGCGCTTGTAGAGTGGGCGGACAGTTTGTTTTCCCCGAGTTGAATTGACATAAAGTTGATAAGTCACATCAAATAGCCTTATGGAGACGTCAAATCAATTTAAGCCTTAGGTGCAGGACAAATCTTAAATTGGCGGCGGATCTTCTAACCGGGGTCCACTTGATCTCGACCTCGGAGGTGAGATGTTTCGGCAGATCAGTAGTAGGAATCGATATATCACTTCGGAGAAGTTTCGAGAGGGTCGTTTTCAGGTAGGAGTAAATGGTGCTACGTAGGGTCTACTTAATCTCGACCTCGGTGGTGAGATGACACTTCGGTATTGAGCCGCGAATAATCGAGGCGTAACAAAGTGTGTGTTGGCAAAATCAAGGTCAATGGATTTTGTTGTTTTCAAAGCTTTTTTTTTTTGTAATTGAGTGATCTTGATTTTGCCAACAATCACTTTGTCAACCTTTTTGTAAACCTACTTTATAAGCATAGCATCTTTTTTCCGTGTCATCTTTTTTATTTTTCTTCTTTTCGAATATTTAGTTCACATTGCACAAATTTCCAACTTTTTTTAAAGTGTCAGATAATTGACGCGTAACAAAAAGTTGTAAATACGTATACGGACATAATTCCAACCTTGGATTCTTGGTGGATCCACTGTGTTTTAATCGTACTTTCTACAAAAGCGTGTAGAGTTGCCTGGAAAATAGTATAATCCAATTAAATCTTACAAAACATTATGATTGTTCTACATATATAATTAGATTATTTTTTTTATTTGCTCATATGATTCACAGTAAGAGGGTTTGGCTAAGGAAGTAAAATTATTTTAATAACTTTTTATTTGTTTGTTGGAATGTCGCATAGTTTTTGAGCGGGATGCATTTCTTCTTTTTGGAAGATCAAAGAAGATTTGTATTCTCTGTCAAATTATCGAAATTATATATCTCCTTGCACAAAATGATGTTTGAGTGAATGAAAAATTGAAGTTTGAAGTGCAATCATTGAAAGTGGCTTAGGTGTTGGAAAGAAGAATAAATCTCCTTGTCCCGAATTTGGGAAGGGTTGAAGACAGGGGTGCCACATGGCACCCTTGTCCCCAACCCGAGACCGGGAGCAGGGCTTTGGAAAGAAAGCAATTGCAGCTAGTCCCACATTGCAATGACTAGTTTATATATGATCATATTTTCTGAAAGTATAAGTAATTATGTATAACATAGAGATTCTTTCTACCGGTCCATGCAAGTGGTGCAAATACTAAACTGGAGTAGCACGTGCCATTAAATTTGTACACAAGCACGATCTACGAACATGAATATTTGGCCCTTTTATGCCCATGATAGTTGGTCTATTAAGTCACTCACTGAAAACCTATAAAAGAGGTCATCAATACTTATAGTGAAGGGACGAATCTGTTTAAAGCATATTTTCTCTTCTCCACAATGTTTAATTTCTTTTTTATTCTTTATTTAATTATTATATATAATTTACATTAATCGTTTGTCTAATACATACATCAGATAAAAAGATTACTTTGTTAGAAGCAACTCTAATCAAAGAAAAAAAAATAGTTTCTACATATGGGCACCATGGGTGAAACATGCAATACACAACACATTACGCCACCCC